TTTTTCCTGAGCTTGTGCAAATATACAAGTTAGTTTCACATGTCAAACAAAACTATGTAACGGGACAACTCGATTCAAATGGCCTCAGTACATTTTGCAACCCCGGTTGAAAAAAAACTCTGGCTACGCCTCTGTCCGCAATCATAATACAATGAAATGAAAGTTCAGACATTATATGTCATCTTCCCTACGAAAACACACATCAAAATATTCAAAATTTTGAAACATAAATAGATAAAAAAGTTGATGCAAATTAAAAGAAATTGTTGCCTTTCAAGGACCTACCGCGGCGTGACGAGCCTCGCAGTTATAACCTTCGTGCACTCTTGGTCTCTGTCGACCCGTGAAGGCCGTCGCAACATGGTGGGTGTCGCGCCGTGAAGCCTGAAAGATCTCCATTCTATGTTGCCCCGTGAAAAGCTGCGGAACGCGGGATTCTCGTGTGCGGCTGATCTCGCGGCGCAAGGCCTAGAGGTTATCCGGTCTTTGTTGCGTCTCCTCGTCCTCGTGCGTGCTCGATTTGCATCAGTATTCAAGAACGCCGTTAGATCTAAAAAAAAATTATGGAGAGCTCTTGAACTTGATACTTTAATTTATGAGATGCCATTTTTTTTTTTTTGAGAGAGTCTCTATTTATCGGTGTAGAAAAGAGAGTCGAGGAGAAAAAGACATTAATTTGATTGATCTTATTTAATATAATCTATTTTCTTATTCTAAGATTTGACTGGACAAAATTTTTTTCTTTATTAATTACATATCTTATATTTTTTATTTATATCCAAAAATAAATAAAAGTATTGATTGATAAAATATTAAAATTTCAATATATGTTATCCTCATGCTGATACTTACCAAGTTAATGTGCTAATGTAAGACTAAATTAAAGCACACCGAAACTTGGACCGGATTTGTCCATGATTTGATCTGCATCTTGAACCGGATAGACCGGGCTCGCGTGACCCCGCAGTCATTCCTGAATTTCCGAGTGATCCAGCAAAATCCGATGTGCTGT